CTTTCATCAGGGTTTTGTTTATGTCCCTAATTCCCTAATCGCTTAATTATTTAACTACTTCTTAAGTAGAAATAAGTCAAAACCAGTTACTTTGTACTCAAATATTTGTAGTCTCAGGAAAAAAGTGGAAAGACAAATTTTTATGACAACGCATACATAAATCGTAAATTTAAGGAAAATAAATTCTACAGCTTTTTCTGTACCTCGTGCATCTCTTCATTCATTAAATTTAGTTGTAAATGATGCTGTCAAAGTAACAGTTAATTAATTTTTTAACATTATACAAGAATTGTACATGTTTTCTTCTACATCCCCTTAAAGATGGGACATACGAAATTGTAATATCACTGGTTTAACATTGAAATCTGTGAGTAATATAAAATCGGAGAGCGGAATAAAAATATCAAATATTTTAATGGATTTTTTTTAACTCCTGTCAACTATACAGAACTATCGTAAAAACATACCAGTAAATTCTTATCAGTTGGGTTAAGTTATAAATCTATTCGCGATTCACGTAATCGAGCGAGGGCGGCCAAATATCTAGCGGGCAGGCAGCTAACAGCCCAGAACTGGTCCTGGAGGGAATTGGATGCAGTATACGTGTAGCATCCACCCAAAGTCCTAGGCTTCCACCAACTAAACCGGGTGAGGTTGGTGCTCTGTAAAGCACGTGCGCGAATCTGGCTTTTTGGATGCTGATGATACAACACTTCCACTCCGCCACTAATATTCGAATATACAATAGCGATCTTATCTTTTTTCACGCATAGTATAGAAATTTGTAATAAGATACATAATGCGGTTATAATAAAATATTGTGCAATTATTTTCATATAATTAAAATTAATATGTATTTATTTTTTAGAAAATACGAGGAAAGCGGCGCATCCACCGCTTCTTATGACGTCACGCCACTGTTGGACGGGATGGTTTTTTCCGGCAGGGAATTCCGAAAGGGAGAGAGTATTTTTTTTGTTTTTGCCGTCGGGTGATAGCAGCGAGAGCACGTATAGCTCTTAAGTGTACTTGTACGATTTGTTTTGTGAATAAATATTGTTACAGNCATTAATTTTCATTTTCATGTAGTAAAGGCTCTATGCCTTCATAAAGGACGTACTTTTCCTTTGTTTAAGGGTATTTGGGCAGTTTATTCTCTGTTATATTCTCAAGTAAACAATACATACAAGTACAGTACAGTATTTTCTGAGGAAACACTCGTACTTATTTTTTTAAACCCCATTCCCGATAACCCGGCATTTTCACAAACTCGGCCACCCTTCGGTCCACATTAGGCCGAGTTTTCGAGGTTCTACTGTATTCGAATTCTGGGCATTCCAAAGTTGAAACACCATCAAACCTGAAGGAGAACTTGGTGGAGATTCAAAAACGTTTGTTCACTCAAGTAGATATTGTAATTTACTGAAAACACAAAGGTTTTGAAAGGGTCAAACCCGGACAGTTTTGGTCTTCTCCAAGACACCCCACACACAACACAAAAACAATGCTTTGTCCATTCAAAGTCTTTCCACTGAACAGGTGGCAATGATTGAAATAGACAAAGCATTATATCAGTGGGGATAGCTAAGTTGGATTCTGGTATGGGTAGAAATATATGACAGTCATAACTATGATTTGTTTTATCATGAGATGGTCATAACCTGGGGTACACTTGTATTTTATTTATAATTATATTATTATTTATTGAAACAATTTTTTTAATAAGTGCACAATTTCAACAGTTAATATATTAACATTTCAGTTATATGTTATTTATTGAATATTAAACCTAAAAATTAGTTTTCTTCCATGCATATTTTGCAGACAGAGTTAAAATATATACTTAAATAATACATATTTAAGTTAGAAATATATTATTGACAGAAATATTTAATTAATAGTCATCATAACAAATAAAAACCCAGATATTTAATGAGAGCTGATGTAATGACATCTATCACATATTCATTAATTTTTATACATTAAAAACCAATCATCATACATTTTAATTACAAAAACTGAAATTAAAATTAATTTGCATCTGTGTTTATATATTTCATCCAATCAAAAGCAGAAATAGCTGTATTATTACATCATTTTCCTTATGTTTCCATCAACTGGTACAATTTCAATCTAAAATTTTGGCTATTCTAGCATAAAATGCTTGATTGCAGTACTTGCTATGTATAGATCATTAGGCCTACATACTAGGAGACAACTGCCACTTAAAACTGGTTAAATTAGAATTAAAAACACTAAACCTATAAACCAGAAAATTTTATATAAAAAGTGCAAAAGGCAAAAAAGTTTGCACTTTTTATATAAAATTTGCTGGTTTATAGGTTTAGTGTTTTTAATACCAGGAGAAAGTATAAAAAATACCAATAGCCAATATATAGTACCAGCAGTTGTTGAATAAGAAAAACTTTTATAGGTTGAGGTGAGAAATCTGGTGACTGACATAATAAAAATGAATAAAATGAACTGAACCATTCTAATGTACACAATGAGTACCACGGGCTGATTGGAGCTGATAAATGAGGTTGGAATTCCTTTCGTTAGAAACATCTTTCAGTGAACAGAAATACTGTCTGGTAATTGTTTATCCTGACTATGTTCTTGTCAAGAAATAAGATATAGAAAAACTCTAATGATAGTATTTTTAAAGAAAAAAGTAAAAACACAATAATTAAAAGTTTACCATTTAGCAACTGGCACTAAGATCCAAAACAATAAATAGGGAAAAAAGTGCAAACAGAAAGATGATACACAAATACTGTAATATAATGTGTAGAATTATAAAAAGAAAAATAAATAATTAGCAGTATTAAACATTATTTTTAGTTATTGTTACATATTTCCTAAAACAGAACTTTGTTTTTAGTATCAATATATGCATATCAGCAGTAATTTTTTTGGAAAGAACACTGAATAGAACTATAAAAATTACAGTACAGTTACAAAAGTAACAGTAGATATCTACAGGAAAACAACAAAAACATTACTACAAAATGATTCAAGTTGTGCTTATATTTTTGTTTATTGTTTTATTTGTTTCAATTTTCTTATGTTGATTCAATTTGTGTTTACTATTTAATGAAATTGCTGAAGCTTGTAAATGTACAAAATAATATTCTTTCAAATATGAACATTAAATATGAGGGAAAATCAAAAAGTCTTTACCAACTGCATTTTTCTCAAAATCTGTTATTTCAGAATTCAAATTATACATTTGAAAGACCAGTTCATAGTCTAGTTTTCTATGTAGCTTCCAAGATAATCAAACATTTCTCCCATCATGGCATAAGCTTTTGAATACTGCTCTCATAAACATGTCTGGTTGCATAAGCAACCAGACATGTTTATGAGAGCTACTATGAGAGCTACTATGAGAGATATGTTTATGAGAGCTTATAGTTAAACTACTGTCTTCACATCATCATCACATTCGAAGCAGTGATTTGCTAACTCCTTCTAGAAGAGGTCATCACAGGATACCAAAATCAGACTATATATGGTGATAATGAAAAACGGCTTGATCTGGAACATCCTGGACTCTTGTTCTGTTTCTGAACTTCTCACACCACCATCAACTTGCCACAATAGACAGTTGTCCCCATACAAAGCACTCGTTTCTTGATAAATTTTGTTTGTATTCTTGGCAGATGCCCACAAAACTTGAATCACACTTCTGTGTTCCTCCAGCTTGGAAATAAACAGAACAGCTGCAATTTTTGAATGCCCATATTTCACAATATCAAAAGCATTGCAAACTGCTAAGATGATACAGTAGGAACTGATTTCTCATATGAATATTTTGAAATTGTAAATTTTGCTTAAACTTTTATTAAACAAATCTAAAACAGCATAAAAGTTACTTAAAAATATTAATATAGATTATTTATCAATTAAATTTATTGTCTGTATGTTTTTAACTTGAATACTTTTTCTAGAATTATTATTATTATGATTTATGATTTATTATGAATTATTATTATGATTTATGATTTATTACGAATTATTATTATGATTTTTTTTCTATATCATCTGCTGGTAATATGTTTAAAATTTACACTGCTTATATTTTTATACATCATCATCAAATAAACACACTTGATTCCTTCATGAAAAATATATATAAAAATTTAAGATTTTCAATGTAAAATAGTACATCTGAATTCAAATTAAAATCTGTTATCATCAAAAAACATTACATATATCAGTGATAATAAAAACTTAAAAATGTATAATTAATATTTATTTTATCTAAAAAAAATTTAAACATTTAACAGAATGATCCATTCTTAACAAAAAATGCCTCGTAATTAGAAATGAATAAATACCTATTTGATATTGTCTTGATTTCAATTAAACCAATAGACTTATACTTAATTTATATAGTTCAAGTTTAAATAAACATTTGCTAGTTTCATTCATTATCAGTAGACATTTTGGAAGCAGAATTCAAAAATCTATTGATGTAGAATTACTTCTACAATATTAATTTTAAAAACGAATCGCAATTATTTATAAATTTTAGATGAAGTTACGTATTTCAATAAAAAGAACCAAGTAACCAACCACGTACAGTACATAATCAAGAAACGTATCGTAAACAAACGAAAAAACGTTCATTTCCAGCTAACATAATCAAAGTGACAAGAGTAGGCGTGGCTATCAATAAACATTAATATATTTTTATTAAAAAACACATAACTAATATAATTTTACGTTTTGTATTTATATAAATTTCAGAAAATTACGAAGACCATCGGTTATGTATCATTATTTTTTTTATGTACGAATACGAAAAGCTAATATAAACAAATACACGTAAACAGAATCGTGCATAAACCACTACGTGTATAGACACAGAAGATATTTGAATTAAATAAAATTATAAAATCAATTGTTTTAAGAGTTGGGAGAGTGTTGATCAAAATCGATGATTCTATTAGGCTTACGATATTCGAAAATCACTTGATTTAATAACTTCATACCTCTTTTTAACGCTTCGTCGTAAGTAATACAGCATTGTTTTGAATCCTTAGCACCCATTCTCAAACAACGCAAGTATTTAAGGGAGGGATGTTTTCATTTCACTATCCAAGATATTTCAGCACATTACGAAAATCAGCCATCTTAATAGTCACATGACATTCTACAGTAGTGTTGCCAGATCAAGTTTATTCGATATTATTTTAGATTGACACGCATAAATTAAACAAATTTTTTATAATTATTGATTTATATAATACTATTAATTAATTATTTATTATTATCGAACGTTATAAGAATGAAACTTAAATTAAATCGATTATAATAAAAAAGATAGTCTAAAAATCTAAGACGTATTACTGTATTTTGAAAGTCTATGTACTGTACGGATTGAAATACATTAGAATATTTATGATCTGCCGGTGGTGTTGGCAGAGCGGTTAGGACTTTATATATTGCGTCATGTATCATGTAGAACTTGGAATCGAATACAAGCAGGTCGAAAAACCCCAAGAATTTTCGGAGGATGATCTGTCCCAAATAGGGTTTCTCAAACGGGATCTCGGGATTCCGGCTGTTTTTTAACCCGGGAAATTCTTCTCATCCCGGGAAATCCTTAATCCATTTCTTAAAAGTTCACTTTTTTCTTATTTTGTGTTAAAGTTTAGGAAATTTTGCAAATAGAAAGTATAATTATTAACCCATAAACTGTCAGAATACATTCGTATTTATTAATTTTAAGCCTGCTTATTAGTTTTTTTAAAATTTTTGCTTGTTATGACATTTCACAGATTGTCAATAATCAATATGTATTTGTGGCAGGACTCTGAAAATTCTTTACTTGTTTTGTTCACGATTCTATTTACATGTATTTGTCTATATTAGCTTTTCGTATTCGTACCTGTAATAGCTGTAATAATTGTGTTTATGCTGTCTTAATTTTTAACCGTGCCCAGTAGCTTCAATAACTGCATAACGCTAGGTTGTGCAAATTGGGCAAGAATAGAAACGAGTACGAAGTCTGCAAGTATGAAGTTTTCTTCGTAAATCTTATTATTAAAGCCAAACGAACTGCCAAATTATCGTGTCTCAAGTCTCCGTAGATATAACAAACACAGAAAAAAATAACTCAAAATAAATTGTAACTATGTGTCGATTCCTCGCGGCACGTCCGAACATGTAAGCTGAACAATAGTGTTGGGGGAGTGAGTAATCGAGAATTGCGTGGCGCTCAAACAAAAGACGAATCGACGCGATTTGAAAAATCGCGTAACTCCGAGTTCGCGTAAGTCGGGGTAGCGTAAGTCGAGGTATTACTGTACAGTGGAATCCCGGTTAAATCGGTTAACCAACTTTTATTTTGCAAAAATTTTGTCTCGGATAATGAACAAAATTCGGATAACGAACTTAATGGCTTTTTGTGTCAAATTTGTAAGCTTGCCGACTTTTAGGGGAATCAGTTAATTGTGTGTTGGTGATGGTCTAGGTCAGGGGTGTCCAACCCGCGGCCCGCGGGCCGCATGCGGCCCAAGACAAGTTCTAATGCGGCCCAATAAACGTGTAAACAAAACCGACAAATTTTTAAATTATTAATTTATTTCTACGGCATAAACCTCAAAAAGAAACTTTCACAAAGCCCTAAACCTTTATACATGTTTTATTTTTTAATAGAAAGGAAGTATTTTTAAATATTTGTAATGTGTGGATGAGGAAGGAATACTAAATAAACCTGGAGTCGTGACTCAAAGGACTATAGCCCAAAATTTGGGGAAAGGAAAGAAAGGCCAAAAAAAAAAAAAAAAGTGAGAAAGGTTGGAAAATTAAGGAGCAATATTTGCGTAACAGAAGGTCTATTTAACCTTTCTCACTTTTTTATATTTTGACCTTTCTCTCTATTCCCCGAATTTAGGTCTATAATCCTTTGAATCCCAACTGTAACTTTATTTAATATTCTTTTCAGCGTTGCAAGATTTGTCTACTTTGCACCAAATTTAGGTACCCTTTTTTTTAGTTTGGCGTAAAAAATATCATTTGGCACATTGGCTACATTTTGGGCTACATATTATTTATAAATATATTAGTTGAAAAAAAACGCACTTTAAAATGGTGTTTCGTTGTTTTATTAATTAAAGACCCAAATAAAAAAAAAATATTTGTGCTTTTCAAATAAATTTTTGTTTGACTTCTTTATAATACATAAAATTATCTATTTCTAAGTAAAAATTGAAAGTGTCTGTGAAAGTAATTTTTTTAAAATATCCTTTTTCGTGATAAAGTTTTAATACTTATTACTATGATCTAGACATGTAAATCCTTAAATATATTTGTATATTTAAAAATTGGGTCACAATATATTTGTGGCCCAAAACTCCATGACTTCTTCCAATGTGGCCCAGAGAAACCAAAAGGTTGGACACCCCTGGTCTAGGTAGTGCCGTAACTAGCCATTCCTGTGCCCTGTACAGGAATTTGCATTTAGGCCCCTTAATTAATTTGGTTTGGGAAAGTAATAAAACAAATACATGCATTTTGGGCCCCTCTTCGAAGTGGGCCCTGTACAGGTGCACCTGCCTAGTTACGGCAGTGGATACTTTCGTCCTTCTGTTATTGTTGTACTGCGAAAACCGTTTGTGTCGATCGGAACCGAAGAACAATTTTCAATTGCACATCAAAAGTCAAAAAGTGCAAACATTATTTCCGGACTTTTCAGGCATTCTTTATTTTTTCCATCATTTACGTCTTCTAGTTGGTTCAAAAGATACGATGCAGCCATTCCTCCCTATTCAGTGTTCTCATTTTCCTAAACATATCAAAAGCAAATGGCCGAAATAAAAAATCTAACGGCAAAAGTTCAGAAATTTTAAAAATTCTCAGCAGATATTAAGCTTCAAATTTCGTAAAAAAATATCTTGCCCTCACAGACTATTATTGATTTTTACATCACGCAATGAGAGAAACCCTGAAATTGCTGGCACTGCATCTGCTAATGTGTGCGTATCGTCCACTTTTACATTGGAATCAATGGAAACGTTTGGCTTTGTTCGGTGCCGTCGTTAGAGCCGGGCAACGGGCCAAGTGTCTAAAGGTAGCCCGCCCTTCAGGAGTCTAATTTTTTGGTTTTTAAAGTTTTCGCGGTAATGTGACGTTGTGCTCACAGGAAATGTATTAAACAACAGTAGCTTCCTTGTATCACGTTTAAGTATTTATAACGCAGAATATGGTAAAAAAAATTCTTTTTGTATTCGGATGGAGAAAACGAGAACGTTTATTTGATTACGAAGAAACGGATACGCGTACAAATAATCCCGAAACACAGTTCCATAGGAACTATTGTTTTTAGCAATAATATACCAAGGGATAATCTGTAGTTTTTGAAGAACAAAGGGCCATTTTTGGTTGCCTTCGCAACATTTCTATATTAAAGACGAGGACGATCTTATGAATCATTTATGCATTTAGATTTAGCATCGAATAACGAATATAATCGGGATATAAAGGTGACTATTCATAAGATGAAATTCAAATATTTCGTGTCTACACTACATTGATATAACTAATGAGACTCTATTACAATGTGTGAATACCTTCCCGAATCTATTGTCCATACAACACAAATATGCGAAAAATTCGATTTTGACGACGTAGTTAAGGATTAGGCACTGGCTCCCTTAATCAAAAATAGGAGCCAAATGGAATAAGAGGGCTAACGAGAAGTGTATCTTAGACAATGCGATTATTGCTTTAAAACCAGTGCACCTGTCTTCGCTTGCAATAGCAAAATTAACGTATGGTTAGAGTTATAAATTCAAACACTTCCGGTGAGAAAGATTTGCCACAACTTCACAAATGCTCAGCCGATTTTCTATTAAATTAAGCGTATAAAAACTTGGAGAGAAATGAAGGAATTTTAGCACGACTTTCCTGGTGACATTAAGCATCGGTTTAATTAATATTCAAGTTGCCGACTAAATAGTTATTCGGCGGGTGTGATTCATCAAATTCACGTTACAATACACGCTTTGTTTTATAATTATGTATATGGAATCATTTCTAGAAATGGCCATTAAATAACCATCTCTCTCGATATTACGGTATAAATATCAAGTTGTTGTTGTATTTTCGCCAAGTATTTGCTTTAATTTCGTTTTATATTCCCATGTAAGGTTTTGGTTAACGCAAAATGTCTATATTTACACGTTTGTATTTCGTGCCGCCATCACGTCAGCACCACCAAGTGCATTTTTCGAACCGTCTCTATTCTAACCCCTATCCTCACACCGGTGTAATGTGGCTTTTTAATCTTTATTATACACGCGTCAGATTCTGAAATTATAATAAAAAAAGAATCCAAAATTCTTCATTAAATTCCCGCTTTTTTTAACGCGTAACAAACGAATTCAACAATTGATGCTGTCGTTGTTGCGTAGTTTTGCTCTTGGACGAAGAGTGCGATTTGGAAAGCGATTCGAAGATGTTTTTTGATGGTAGAGAGTATCGACCCCTGCCCCATCCTCCTGGGTAAGATATTTTTTTACATTTCATTACTATTTATTCGGATAAGAAATTCGTTTTAGCAATTAAAGGCTTTAAAGAAAACTTCCATCTACAATATATAATTAGGACTAATTAGATTAAATGTAAAGATTGAGACTTTACGATTTTTGTGTCTTCCTGTATTGCTGTATTGCAATAGAGGGCTTTATAAGGCACAGTTCGGGGCCTGGTGTTAAGAAGATAATTTAGGGCCTTTCAATTTACTGTTGTTTAAACGAGTAATCGGGCTTCTTTTATATCACGGATTAGGTCGTTAATATGACGAAATTTACTAAAATTTTAAACCCAACTTCGTTTCAATATGTTCAATATGTCAATTATAATATTCAACATGTCTTTTTTTAAAATAACAGAAAAAGATTTAGACTACTCGATTTATAAAAGGCCCTTTCCTTCTGTCGAATAAACTTAAAAACACGGGGATCTAATGTAGTTTGAGAGTAGAATTAAGTAGTTATTGTATTGTGAATTTTCTCTTTGCATATTTAGGGAGGGATTGGATGTGGATTTGCGAAGATTCGTCAGTCCACAAAATTTGGATTATGTTAAGTTTCGAGGCAGAAAGTTGAAGAAAGTCCTTTCGAAGCAGTACGAACCCTCGACCGGTGCTTTCG